TACCTCTCGCTCCGCTCGCCCCCCTGACAATGCCGAGCAGCGCGCGTGGTCATCGGAGGCCGCCCGCGCGGGCGTGGACCCCGTTTCTGCGGGGGCCCGCGCCGCCCTCGCGCAGAATTCGCGCGGGGGGCGCGAGCTTGACGCGCGCGGTCTCCGCAGCCCGCAGCGCAGAGCGAAGGTGGCCCGCGACGGGCTCCGCGACGCAGTGGCCACAGTAGGCCAGCCGGTCCTCGATGAATGGGGATAGCCTCGCATGATGCATCGGCCCTGCACGGGCGAAATGGTTGTTTTTTTCCGAGGAGTGGGAGTTGCAGGACGCGGAGTCGAGCTGCGCGCGCGACGGCGCAGACTTACCGCGGGTGGATAAGAAAAACCCGAGACTCCTCCACAGGAGATCGGAGCAGTGCTCGGCCAGCTCCCCGTGGCGTCTCCCCCGCGATGCTGGGCGCTGGCCCCCTGTCGTCCAAGGCGAACCCGCATGCGATGCGATTTGCGACCGACGTCATCACGCTACTTGAGAGAGCAGAGGAGGGCAATCTCCCCTCGGAGTTGCGCGTGCTCGACTCATTTCACCCCTCCCATCCCAGGCAGAAAGCGCGGGCGCTCTTCCTCGACTCGGGCGCGCGCGATCGGCCCCTAGCACTCGGCCCTTGCGTCCTGAGGGCAGCGGCCAAGACAGTTGCGATTCCCCCCCCAGCGGGCCTCCGTGACAGCGTGGTTGGCGGGAACCAAGGTGGAGATGAGGCCCCCCCCCCCTCCGACGGCGACGCGGCGACGCGAGTTGGGCGACTCGGCGGGTCGGGCCCATAGGCGCGAGCTTCACGGGAGAAGGGCCCCGCTGGCCCAGCAGAGGTTCTCGGCGGAGGGCGGGCTCTCGATGGGACTCAGCACGCACGCCGCTGTCGCCGCCGATCAATGCATCTTCTGCCGCCAGTCGTTCCGAACAAGAAGAACTGCGCAGGAGCATGCGTTGCATTCCGCGTTGAAGGGTCGGTGCCCAGTCATGTCTACTCCGCGTCGCCACCCCGCCCAAGCACCCGAGGATGCATCGCGCCCGCTTGCCGCGATAACGGTGGCATCGCTGCTTGGCGGTCACATTTCAGCATTTTGCTGTCCAGCAAGCGAGCCTCACCCCGACCTCGGCGCCCTGAGCAATCACCTGCCCCCCCGCGCGGGCCGCCCTCTCCCTCGGCGCGCACTGGCCCGAGAGCTGGGCGATGTCCACGCCGAGCTCGGAGCAGGTCGAGGCAGAGAGGCCTCGCTCGGCACAGCGAGGCTAAAGCGGGAGGCCTGCAGGGCGCGGCCGCAGTGGGTCGCAGGCCGCTTCCCGCCAGCGCGGGCCGCATCGACGGCGAGTCAGCGCGGCGCGAGGGCCCGGGCAGCAGGCGGCAGGGGCCGCCAGAGACGCAGCCCGGCCACGGCAGCCCGCCGCGGCAGCGGAGCTCGGCATGCTGCGCGGACTGGAGCCCGGCACCATCGACCGCCTCCCGAAGGTGGGCGCGCAGACGGCGTCGCGCCTCACGCCGACCCTGGCCTGCGCAGTCATGGGGAACGCGCTCCAGCTTCGCGCGGTCATGGTCGCGACGTTCGAGACGTTCACGATGAGCGAGGATGCCCCAGTAGCGCAGGCAGGGCTGGGAGCTGGCCGCGCACGCGCGAAGACAGCTGTGACGATGATTGCAGCCGCCCAGCAGGACCCCCAGGCGAATCCTTCGTCCGAGGCCAAGATGGGGCCAGCATGCGTACAGATATTCTTCGCGGTGTGCGGCGAGATCCAGAAAGCGGGACATGGAGTTGGCATTCGGAACAAGACGGCGCGGGAGGAGCAGGACCAGAAGCCGGCGGCCATCACGGACATCAGCTACATGGCGATGCAGTCAGCATGGCGTGCAAAGAGCGGTCGGCCAAGATCTCGGCGGCGCTGACGGGCGCGCAGATGATTAAGACGATGCAGGATTGCCTGGCCCAGCTGGGCGCCGACCACAAGGTCGGCTTGGCGCCAATGAGCAACGCCGAGCGTATCCTGCAGCTGGCGATCGACGCGTTCGAAGGAGCGCAGGCCGTCGCAGCCGGGGGCACCTGGAAGAGATGGGCCAACATATGTTCAGTTGATACAGTCGGGGCGCTGAAGAAGGAACCTTTTTCGTTGGGGAACGGCTCGGTGTTCCTTGATTGTTTCACAGTTTGCCTCAGGTCTTCCTGAGGTCTTCCATGGGACATCGATGTTTAACTTCTGAGAAAAAGGGGCCTCGTTCCTTATTTAGGGTTCCTTAGGTCAACGCCCCGACCGCATTGCCTCCCAGTCTTGCTGCGGGCCGCATGTCGTCCGCGATCGTTCCCAGGGCAGGAGGTGCACGTTCAGATTTTTGTTTGGCGGTCTCGGCTTGGAGAGTGCCGACGGTGAGACGAGAGTTCGGGGGAGAAGTCGAGCACCACGGCCTGGCGCAGCGAGCGCGGTGGATTGGAACCCACGTCACATCGCTGCGAGTGCTGTGGATCGGGTTCGTGCCGAGGGCGCTGGGAGCGTTGGGCATCAGGACCCACTTCGTGCCGCTGCGGGTGCTGTGGATCGGGCTCGTGCTGATGGCGCTGGGAGCGTTGGAGATCGGGACCCACGCCTGCTGCAGATAGCGCAGTGGATCGGGTTCCGCGTCCTGCCGCTGCGAGTGCTGTGGATCGTGGCCCGCGTCGGGACGGAAGCGGGGTCGTGAAACGCGAGTTCGAGAAGGCCCCCGTTCGTGCTGCCAGTCTCCCCACTCCCAGCCGGACCCCTTTTCCGAACCACATCTCAATTCTAAACAGCTTGTTATCTTGGCTACCCGTGGGTACCGTGGGCTTATAAACAATAATAGTAGTACTCATAATAATACTAAGAATACGAATGCTACGAAAATTAATAATGTATAATCATAGGCAAAATAGTATTAATATTAACAATAAGAATCATAATAATCATAATAATCATAATAATAATAGTGATAATAATAATAGTAATAATCATATGACTACTACTAATAATAATAACAAGAATAATACTAATATTAATAATAAGAATCATCATCATCATAATCAGCATCACCATCATCATCATCATCATCATCATCATCATCATCATCATCATCATCATCATCATCATCATCATCATCGTCATCATCATCATAACAATAATAGTGAAAACAATACTGATAATAATCACAAAAATGAAGATAAACATCGAAATAACGTACCCTGGGAACCTAATCCGTGTCCGTGCTCGCGGTTGTGGTCGGGCGAGGCCCGTCGTGGGGCCATTTTCCATCGTAGATACGCGTGCGCACGGTAGGTCGCACAATCCCGAATATCCTGAATTGTGGTTTAAGCTTGTGCTCATTCGGCTTCGGCCAGACACCGTTTCGCCGCCGCCGCCTCCTCCTCCTCCTCGAGATGGACGTGGAGAGGTGGGTGAATGGGTGGGAGGGGCAGGAAGGGAACAGGGAGGAGAGAGGGAGGAGGGCGGAGACAGGAAGGAGGGAGGAGGAGGAGGAGGAGGCTGAACTTGGGGACGAGGAAGTGTGGAGAGGAGCGAAGAAGGAGCAGGGTGAGCGGGGAGCTGGGAGGGGGAAGGGGGGGGAGCAGAGGAGGGCGGATGGGGCAGGGGTGGCAAGAGGGAGAAGCGAGGATGTGGGAGGAGAGGGGAGGGAGCCGGGAGGGATGAGGCAGGAAACCATGGGGGGCGCAGAGAGGCGGACTGATTGGTCGATCGACCATCACCGTGAAAGGTCGGAGGGGCACGCCACCAGAACAGCGCTCGGGCAAGGAATCGACAACTATACATGTATGTATGGATCACTGTCTGCGCGTGGCCTGGCGCCTTCTTCTCTGTGGTGCAGGCAGCAAGCGCAGAAACGAGGTCAAGCATAAGAGTGATGTGGATCACAGGTTCGATTTCGAGGACGCGCGCATGCTGCCCGCGTAAGGCCGCGCGTCGGCGCACTCTGCTCTCCGCATTGGTGTGCCGCGTGGGCGGCCCCGCGTGAGTTACCGTAAGAGTTCTCATCCCCCGAAGTCTCCAGAGAAGCGTAGAAGCTCTGGACGATGATAATGACGGTGATGATGACGATGATGATGATGATGATGATGATGTTGATCATGATGATGATGGTAATGATGATGACGATGATGATGATGTTGATGCTGATGTTGATTGTCATGGTGATGATGATGAGAATAATCATGCACATCATACTAATCATTTAAAATAGTAATAACAGCAATAGTAGTAATAAGAATGATGATGGTTATGATGATGGTGATGGTGATAGTGATGGTGATGTTGCTGATGCTGATGCTGGTGATGATGATGACGATGATAGTCATGGGGACGATGGTCATGGGGATGATGATGGCGATAATGCTGATAAGGGAGATGATGATGATGATGATGATGATGATGACGATGACGATGATGATGATGATGATGATGATGATGATGACGGTGGTGATGATGATGATGATGATGATGGTGATGGTGATGGTCATGGTGATGATGGTGCTGATGGTGGTGGTGGTGGTGATGGTGATAATCATGGTGTTGATGACAATGATGATGATGATGATGGCGACGATGGTGATGGTGATGACGATTGTGATGATGATAACGATTATGATGTTGATGATGATGTTGATGATTGTGATGGTGATCATTATGATGCCGATGATGATGGTGATGATAATGGTGATGATGATGATGATGATGATGATGATGATGATGATGATGGTGCTGATAGTGGTCATGACGGTCATAGTGATAATGGTGTTGATGGTGATGACGATGGTGATGATGATGATGGTGATGATGAGGGTGGTGATGATAATGCTGATGATGATGATGATGCTGACGATGATCATGATGGTGATGATGATTGCCACGACGACGATGATGATGATTATGATGATGACGACTGCTCGCACGTGAGACTGCTGTGATTTGCACCGCTGGGGCGACGCAGCGCTCCTGCCAGGCGGCCACCTACGAACGTGCGCTGCAGGCCCTTGGGCGCCACGCCGCGCTGCTCGTCTTCGTCGCCGCCGTCGCTCGTCGTCGTCGTCGTCGTCGTCGTCGTCGCTCGTCGCCGCTCGTCGTCGCTCGTCGTCGTCGTCGGTCACCGCTCGGGAGCGCACGAATGAGCAACGCAGGAAGAGAGGAAGAGGGTGAGATGCTGGCCTTGGGCAAGGTGCCGAGGGCTCCGGGCCCCCCCCCGTCTCAGGAACAGATCGGGCCACCCTCGGGGATGGACAGACCTCCCTTTAGTAAAACGTGGTTTAGTGAAAACGACCTCGGGCCCAAACCTGGCGGGCGCAAGCCTGGAAAATAACGGCCGCGGCGCCCTCTCGAGAACCGAAAACGGACAAGTCACTAATCGACGTGTCACTGTTGGGGGTTCTGTCCACCCCCGCCACCCGTGTCGGGGGGTTGAGCCGGGCTGACAAGGGCGCGCCGAATGGACGGGGGGTGGCAGGGGCCGCCGCGCCCAGAGGTTGCGGGGCACGCGTCATGCTCTGACGCCCTTGACAGTTCCTGCGGTGCCCCGGGGTTCCGATGGGTCCTCGCGTCCCTGGAGGGAGAGGAGGCTTCCGTGGGGCACCGGCTGGCAGGCCAATGTGGTATACGGCGTGCCTTCTGTACCGCATCCTCACTGCCGTGGCTGCCGGCACTTGATGCCTCAGCCCGCGTGCTGTGCTTGCCACGACGGCGCCGCTGCTTCGGGCCAGCTGCGAGCCTGGCCATCCTGTCCGTCCGTCCTGCTGGTCGTCGGCGGGGGACGACGGCGAGCACGACTCGGCGGCGCGCCCAGGGGGAAAGTGAGAAGGGGCGGGCCCTCTCAGAAGGAACGGAAGTGCCCCGGCCTTCTGAGAAGTGTTCTATAAGCCTTCCCCGAAGGCGCAGAGCACTCCTCGGAAGGCGCGAGGGCTCCTGAGAAGTCCCGCCGCCTTTTGAGAAGGCCTTCTCCTTCTCACTTCCCCCCCCTCGGTCGCCGCCGAAACGAAAATCGCCGCCTCCCCGGGGTCGCCCCACGCTGCCCTGCCAGCACCATTCCGGCGCAGCAGGGACGGGGCAGGCCCATAGGAGAGCCCCACCACCGCCCGCAGCAGAAGCCGCAGGGGGCGCGCTGTCTCCACTCAGGAGGGGAAAAACACACCCAGACACAATTCATCGTCGACTCCCCCAAAAAAATAGGAAAATATAGGAAGTGGGGGGGAGACAAGAAGCCAGAGAATATGGGAAAATATGGGGAATCGTGTTATTTGTGTGTCTTTGTTTGTGCGTCCCAGGGCCCCTCCATCTACCACGACGACGACGACGACGACGACGACGACGACGACGACGACGGCTCGCCGCCAAAAGATGATGCTGCTCGATGTTCGGGTCGGACGCACGCCTCCAGGGAGGACCCCTGGCACGACGTCGGGCCTGTCTCTCTTCAGGGGGCAGAGCCCGAATTGTAGTCCAACAGTGGTCCGGGGACGATGTGTTCACCATGTCTGAAGATTCCCTAATCCCAGACCCCCTCGAGTCATGAAAAAATCACGACGGGAGGTTTTTCCATATTTTCGGCCTCCGGGGGGCCCTACCAGGCCTCGGGACCGTCAAAAAACGACTCAGGAGGAAACACCGGTCCTGGGGAATGGGTCCAAACCTCTGGGGGTCGACGTCATGAAAAAATCATGACGTCGGGGGTCTGGGATCAGAGCCTGCCTCTGTAGGGGTCCTAGCGGATTCATATGGTTCGGTGAGGTTTGTCGCCGATTTTCGCTGCACGCCGGGGTGCCCGGGGGTGCCCAGGGGTGCCCGGGGCCCGGGTGCCCAGGGGGTGCCCGGGTGCCCGGGTGCCCGGGCGTGCCCGGGGGTGCCCGGGGGTGCCCTATAGCCCTAAGCCCTATTGCCCAATAGCCCAGTAGCCCTATAGCCCTACAACTATATAGAGCCCTATGGCTCAATAGCCCTATAGCTCAATAGCCCTATAGCCCCCTAGCCCTATAGCCCTGATTGGGGTTTTTCTCCGGTGTCATTTTGTTGAACATCTTTTGGGGTGTGTTTTACTTCTCGTCCAAAATCCGCCGGTAGGGGGACACGCCCGACCTAAGCCTGGCACCATGACCAGCACAGTCAACCCGCACAGCAAGGATGGGCAACCTTCCCAAGGGTAATTACCCTTGCATCCTTGCCCCCTCGTTCGATCCTTCGCCGCTTTCGCTGGCCGCGCCACGCTCGAAAAGCTTCGAAATGGGCGTCCAAGGCCCCTTGCATCCTTCTCGCGCATCCTTACTACACTGGTTGACTGTGCTCCACCTCCTCCTCCTCCTCCTCCTCCTCCTCGTCCTCCTCCTCCTCCTCCTCCTGCTCCTCCTCCGCATCCTCGTCCTCCTCCTCCTCCTGCTCCTCCTCCTCCTCCTCCTCCTCCCTCCTCCTCCTCCTCCTCCTCCTGCTCGTCGTCGTGCGCCCCACCGTTGCGTCCCCCTCGAGCCGCCGGCCCGCCGCGGCCCTCCTCGGCCCCTCCTCGGCCCTCCTCGGCCCGCGGCCCGCCTCCGCCTCGGCCCCGGGGGGGGGGGGGGATCGGGGGCAGCGACTGGGGGGGGGGGGGGGGGGACGGGCTTAGGGTCGAGTCGGGCGCGTCCCATTGACAGGGGGGAGATTCAAAAACAGTCTCAAAAATAGCCCTGGGACGATGTTTCTGATATGTTTACTCACCATTCTGGATTATGCTTTGGATCTGTTGAATTCTGCCTTCGAAATCCGCCTGTGGGGGGACGTGCCCGACCTCAGGACAGGCACACAGTCGGGGCCCTGAAGAAGGAACCCTTTTCGTTGGGGAGGGGCTCGGTGTTCCTTGATTGTTCTACAGTTTGCCTTCTGTTTTCCTGAGGTTTTCCAAGGGAAATCGAAGTTCAACTTATGGGAGAAAGGGGCCCCGTTCCTTATTTAGGGTTCCTTAGGTCAACGCCCCGACTCTAGGAGGGGACGCATCGACCCCCCAATCGCCCACCGATCGCCGACAGGGGCCCGAGAGCCCCAGCCCCCCCCCGGGAAGGTGCGGACTCGCCATCGGGCGCCTACAGTCGGGGCCCTGAAGAAGGAACCCTTTTCGTTGGGGAGGGGCTCCGCGTTCCTTAAGTGTTTCACAGCTTGCATCAGGCTTGCCTTATGTTTTCGATCGGAAATCGAAGTTTAACTTATGGAAAAAAGGGGCCTCGTTCCTTATTTGGGGTTCCTTAGGTCAACGCCCCGACTGTATCGCCGATCCATCGGCGACGCATCGCCGACTCCAGGTCGGTGCCTCCCCCCCCTCGATGGTTGCCAGCCCCCCCCCCCGATCGTTGCCCCTCCGGGCGGGCAGGGGGGGGCCTCTCTTGCAGCCTCGCGGGGGCGCGCGCCCCTCCTGCCAGGCAGGAGGGGAATAACAGATGTGGCACAGACGCGGAGGGACGTCGATTTTTCCCGGGAGGGGGGGGGGGGGAGGGCAGGGGAGGGAAGGTGCAGGGGGGGAGACGAGGCCCATCAGAATCGGTTATGGCCAGGACCCGGGGTGAGGAGACCGGCTTAGTGGTAGGGCCCTGGAGCCTTCGAATTGGCCAGAATCACTAAACCAGGTTTGCCATAGCTGGTGTTTCTTCGGGTGACGGCAGTTCCGGTTAGTGGAAATGGGACGGGGGGGCGCCCCCGGCACAGATCACTAAACCAGGTTCCACTAAACCCAGTTCTGCCAACGCCCGACAGAAGGGGTGAAAAAAGATGTCCGGAGTCCTGGCGCGCGTGCCGCTTTTGGCTGGTGTGTCCCTTGGGCCCCTCCCTGTGCCTGCGGGGGACTGTGGCCGCAGGCCAGGCCCCGGGGAGCGGGGGGGGGGTGATGGAGAGAAGTCAGGAGGGAAAGAAGCACACAGACACGAGTAAGCGTCGACTCCCAGGAAAATCTAGGGAGATATGGGAAGTGGGGAGGGGAGACAAACGCCCAGAAAAAGATTGGAGCATGTAATTAGGGAACCCTGTCCTTTGTCTCAACGTGTTTGCGTCCCAGGGCCCCTTCGAGAGGGGGTGGCGGAACCCGAGGCCTGCCCTCGCCGATCGACGGTGCAGGCAGCTCGATGGGCGGCGGGGGCCACGGTCGACCCGCACAGCGAGGAGGAGCGGCTCTCCAGGCTTACCCCTACCAGCCTGGAAAATATCCCTATCCCTATGCTGGGCATCTCCTCATCACGATGCCAATCTTAGGGATTCCCTGATTTTTTGAGGGCGAATCCCCAAGATTGTCATCGCCTTTTGGCGTGTCAATCTTAGGGATAGGGATACGTTCGAGGCTGGTAATACCCCTTGCGTCCTCCCACCCTTCGGCCCACACCCTTGGCCGCCCTCGCCGGCTGCGCCCCCGCCCGCAAAGTGTCCACATGGCCGCCCCCCAGGCCCTTGCAGCCTTCTCGCGCGTCCCTGCGTGGGTTGGCCAGGGTTCGGAACTCGTCGAACGCGTGGCGAGATCCAAGCCCTACCCCCGCCTCCCATCGATTCCGGAGAATCAGTGGTTGGCGGGGGTAGGGTTCGGAGATCGCGGTGCGCAAACTGCTGCACGCAGCTGGCTTCGGCTCCGCCGCCGCCGCCGCCGGGAGGCGCCCGGAGAACCAGCGGCCGGAGCCGTGTCGCTTGACCCTCTTGTGCTGTCCCGCCCTCTCGTCCGCCCAGGCAATCTCTGCTGCAGGTTTTGGGACGCGGGCACAACCCGTTCTGGGTGCGCGGGTGTTTTACAGAGGCGGAGGCGTCAGGAAGACGACTGGGAGAAACAAGACCTCCAACGCCCTGAGACAAACAGGCGAATATGTTTCCCTGCTTCTGGTGTCCAGGAGCCTCTTTCAGGCTCCAAGACAATTCGGTCCCCAAGAATCGAGAGGTCGTGTGCCCACGCTTTGAACAAAACAAAACATCGAAAGTCAAAGGAGGAGGCTGAAAATGATATCGTCCCGCTGAAAAACCAATTAGCGAACATGAAAACGAATGTTCGGAGGTCCGCTCGGACATCCGAACGTGTGTGCCAACTTTTTCGTGTTGGTTTTATCCTCGCACCTCGCGAACGAATGCCAAGGCGGTTCTCCAGGCACGCTTGCTCGGCGGTGGCACTGTGATTCGGGGCTCACGGCACCCACGCCGCAGTTGGCGAGGAAGGATGCCTTGACGTACAGTACAAGCTATATACGGGCATCCCGCGTTCGCATAGCAGTTTCCGCGAAGCTGATGGGCAGACAGACCAAGTTCCGGCAGACGTCGAGGAGAGGAATGCGAGTTTCCACTGCGTCCGGGGCAGAGATTACCAGACAGAGATCGAGCAATACAGACAGCGCGGTGTGAGTGGCCAGCATGAGTGGACCACGGGTGGGGCGCCTGTCCTCTGAGCCGTTCTGGCTCTGCAGTGTGCCGGAACCGTTGGCCGACCACTCGGCCCAGGCTGCGCAAGCCCCGAGTTCCAGCGCCAGAGGTCGCCAGCATGCGTTGCCTGCTGACAACGGCCATGACGTCTTGGGCCGCGGCGCAACCAGCCTCCTTCGATGCGTTGCAATTTGCATGTGCCTCCGCCTTATCGCTCAACTTCCGAATGAAATCACACCATCCCAACAGGGCTGATATCGATCAATACCATGCGCGCATTGCACACCTCAGCATCCTTCGAAAACCCATTGTGTATTAAACGTCAAACAAGTGTAAAATAATGGCTCGTCAAGACCTACCAACATCCGCAGCTCTTAAACACAATAGTTGCCATTTTGTTGCGCGCACTTGCTCAATCGTAAAGGAACTCATTAGTGGTTAGCGTCTCTGTCAAAAGAGGACTGTCCAGGGCACTCGCGCGCGCAAATGTTGAACATGTTCAACCACCATCGCACGGCCACCAACTCTGTCAACTAATACAATACGGGCCACACGCGCTCGTTTCTGTGCGCGCAGCGAGATCATGTCAGGACGTATTGATTTCTGTTGGCACGCACTTTCTCATCATTCTTACCGGCGCAATCGTTATGATTGTCATCAGCGTCATCACTACCATCGTGAACATCATCACCACCAACATCAGCGCCATCGACTAGATTATAACCACGGCCGTCATCTTCATCTTTGTCATCGTCGACATCGCCGCCGTTGTCGACGTTATCATGACATCGCGCCGGCCCGAGCTACCGACCCACACTAAAGTGCACGCGCGCCAGCGCGCTTCTTGAGACGTCCCGGGAAGTTTTCTTCGGTAAGCACCATCGTTGCCGCATCAGTTGTGCTAACTCAGTTGGCCAATTTGAGCGTGAGCGGGCACGTGCTAGTGCGGTCGCAGCGACGCGCTAGCAAACTCCAATCGCCAACTTCAATCGTCATTAGCCGAACTGGTTTTGCAGAACAAGTTGTGGTTGGGAGTGGGATGCTTGCGCGAGCGCTGGAGCTGACAATTCGTCATTGACTTGGTAAGTCGCACCACACAGCTTGCATCATGTAGCTTGCACCACAAAGCTTGCACCACATAGCTCACACCACGTGGTTTTACAGCATATTTGATTGCACCACCGAGCCTTCACCACATAGTTTGCACCATATCACGAACACATCCACAGTGCAAGCACTTACTGGTTGGGGCCCACGTTGGCAAACACTCTTTCATGCAGGATAATGTGCTGATTATCCTGGTGCCTGATTGTCCTGGTCATTTTCACTGGTTGAAAATCTGTAGGAGTTACAGAGGGCGCCACCTGCTGTGGCTACGAGGGCGTCGCAGGAGAAAAGTTGCAAACGCGCTCAAAAGTTCCGATCACCGCCAGACCTCCGACCCCCGACGTCGTGCTTCTTCCAAGCGCCGCCTTCGCCCCAGGGGCTGGCTCCTCGTCCTCGCTCGTGCTGCTGACGCCCTCCCCGGGACCAGGCGAGGGCCCTCCGAGGCCGAAAACGACAGCCGCTTTCCTGTCGTGATATCTTTCTATCTCTCTATATTTATATATAGAGATATGTGTGTCTGTGTGTACATATAGACATCTCTATACGCATTCACACAGGTATATGTATGTGCACATGCATGTATGAATGTTGATGTGTTCAATGATGTGTTTCTTAGTGACTGATTTATCGAGTGATCTATTTATGCGACGCGACGAACCCCCAACTGATCCGAAGCCCGCGCGCGCCCGGGCCGAGCCTGGCTCTGCCCAGGTCCCGTCGGCCGGTCGGGGTGTGCGGCGGCCGATCCCCGCCCGGGGAAGGCCTACCAGCAGGCCAGGTTCCAGGAGGCGGTCAAGATCGCGGGGGAGCTGCCGGAGTCGGACGTGGTGGGCTGGGGGCCACAGGGGTCCCTGAGATCGTGGCGTTGCACTTTTTTTCCACAGCGGGCGCTGTTGCCCGGTTTCGGGCCCAGGGGCCCTCTCAAATGACGCAGACAGATGATGGGGTTTGGGGCTACCGATGCGAATTTAAACCATGTTTCAATGTTTTCGAGACGTCGGATCTCAGAGGTACCAGTCGGCCGTTGAATCCCCACATTCGAGTGTGCTTCAGGCGCCTTCCTACTTCAAGGATCGAGTGGTTGTGCTTCTTCCGTCGTCCTCAGAGGGGGTGGAGATCCAATGTATTTCCAACGCTTTCCTACTTCGTGTTTCTATCCACCTCTTCCGACCGATGTGTCAACAGTAGGGGCTGTGGTGATAGTCGCGGGCTTTGCGCAAAGCGAAAGTTTTTTCCACATGATGGCGTTCTGCACCCGTGTCGCAGGCCATGGCTAGACAAGGGTCTGGACAGGCGTCGCTGGCACAACGCAAGGCTTGGAACACATACCCGTTTCTTTTTCCCAACCATCCTGTGGTGTTGGGTCTTCGTTTTGAAGAGACAGCGCCCCGCGTCATCTCACCTCACCTCCCGCTGCCCCCTCCCCTCCTCACTCTTCCCGTCCCTTGCCTCTGCTCTCCGCGTGCCCATCCCAGCCTGGCACACCCCTCACAAGGTTCGTGGCCCCACAGGAAGCTCCACTGAAGGCCCCAGTGGCAGGGTCCGCGTGCATCCCCCCGCCCATTTCGGCACACCCCTCACGAGGATCGTGGCCCCATAGGGAGCTCCACCGAAGGCCCCAGCGGTAGGGTCCGCAGGCGCCCCCCTGCCCAGTTCGGCACACCCCTCACGAAGATCGTGGTCCCGTAGGGAGCTCCACCGAGAGCGGTGCCCACAGCGCGGCACTCACAAGTGCATGTGGCTGGTTTTTTCGTCGGGATGATTGTTGCAGGAACCGATTCACGTTTTTTCAGGCACGGTACATCAAGATCGATACAATCAGCATTGCACTTGCCCGTCGCCCAATGAGGTGTCTTTGAAAACGCTGCCATGCGTTACATTTATACATTCCTTTCCGGGTTCGTGGGTCGATCATGTTTCCACATGATGGCGTTCTGCACCCGTGTCGCAGGCCATGGCTAGACGAGGGTCTGGACAGGCGTCGCTGGCACAACGCAAGGCTTGGAACACATACCCGTTTCTTTTTCCCAACCATCCTGTGGTGTTGGGTCTTCGTTTTGAAGAGACAGCGCCCCGCGTCATCTCACCTCACCTCCCGCTGCCCCCTCCCCTCCTCATTCTAGGATAATTTTTGCAGGTATCGACGACGACGACGACGACGACGAAGCAAGCAGGCCCTCCTGCCCCCCCCTGGCCCCCATGGGAGCCTCCCTCGCGTCACGTCACGCGCGGGGCCGGCAGCGCCGCAGCCTTCCCACGCCGGCCAGCCAGGCCCAGCTCCCCCCCCCGCCGCCAGCCCCGCACCCCTCCTCACCCTGGCAGCCCGCGCGACCACCCCAGCCCCGAATCCCACGCGCCCTCGCACGCACGCGCGCCGCGGCGCTGGCCCCTCAGCCAGGCCCCCCTCGTTCTCCTGGGCTTCGAACATGGGGCCCTGAGGGATCGGGCCCTGCGGAGCGGAGAGGGCTTCCAGCTTGAATCTGCACTGCCCTCCTTGCGGCGCCACCTCGCAGGGCGCATGGCTCCGTCGTGGAAGCGCAGGCTCCCCCTCCCCAGACCCCTGCCGTCGTCGGCTCGCAGCGTGGACCGCCAGGAGTCCTAGACCCCCCCCCCCGACGCTTAGCATCGCTCGGGCGTGTGCATTTTTTCCTTCGGCGAGGACCATCGAGGAGCATCCTCCATCATTTGGCGAAAAAACCACGCACGAAACCGAAAAAAACACAGAGAATGCACGTCCGAGCGATGGCAAGGACGGGCTTCTGATCCCCAGCCGCTTCTGTTGGCGGGCCCGGGCCTGGGCCCCCCCCCCCCGGGAGGTCGTTGGCAAGAGCCACGAGCCGCTCTTTCACGGAGCACGGCAGGGGCCCTCCCCGCACTCGCGCCGCCGCCGCCGAGCCCCCGCGGCGCGGCGGCGGTGGCGGCGCCGCCCCTCGCCCCTCTTGCCGGCGTCGCTCGACGATCTTCGGGACCCAGACATGGTCGCGTCGCCCCAAAAAAAACAGGACGGGAGGTCTTCAGCCAACTTCGGCCTCGGGGGGCCCTCGCCGGGCTTCGGGACCGTCAAAAACGACTCCTCTGGACGCCCGAAGTGGGTACGGAAAGACCGGGTACAATGCCCGACAGCAGTTCCTGTTCCTTCTGTCCAGGATTCGCTGTCCACGCCGCCGCGGCCCCTGTGTCCATTCGAGACAGAAGGCCGCCTGCCCAACAGCAGCCGCTGTTGGTTTGGGACAACATGTGCTGTTGGGCATTGTAACCATTTTTTCCGTGCCCATTTCGGGCGTCCAAAACTCAGGATGAAAATCCAGTCCCGGGGAAGAGTCTGGAATTCCAGGGACCCCGTATTCAAATTATCCTGGCGAAGGACCCAACCATATGCACTTGTGAGTGCCGCGTTGTGCCGCGTTGTGGGCACCGCTCTCGGTGGAGCTCCCTACGGGGCCACAGAATGGGATAGGCATGCGGAGAGCAGAGGCAAGGGATGGGAGGAGGGAGAAAGGAGGAGGGGGCAGCGGGAGGAGGACGAGGAGGAGTGACGCGGGGCCTTGTCTCTTCAAAGCGAGGACCCAACACCACAGGATGGTTGGGAAAAGTCCGGACGTTTCATGTCTGGGGACACATGTCAGTCCAAGCGTGTGTTTACCCAGCTCGGCCGCCCCCTCTGCCCTCCCCCCGCTCGTTGCACGCTGGCCACTTCGCTTCTCGGTGCCCCCGTGTAGCTTTCTCATTTTTCGCCGGTGCAGCCAACTCGACCTCGCCGCCGACGGAAAAAGTGTTGTTACCCAGTTCGGCGTCGCCGATCTCGCGCAACCTGTGCCGGCCCTCGTTGCACCCCTGGCCAGCGTCGTATGGAAAGATCTCGGTGGACATCATCGGGTCGGCATGTCCCTCTGCAGGAGGAATAGTTTTAGAAATATAGTCTGGGGGCGATTGTTTGATTATTTTCCTGGAAAGGGCGCCGGCCCAGGTTCCCGGAAAGGGCGCCGGCCCAGGGTTCCCTTTTAGGATGGTAATCTGTCCCCGGTGCCATGCGGGAGCTGGGCTGGCGGAATTCTGCTCGATAAAAAGCAAGGTAAAGTCCAATTCGGCGTGAAAAAAATGCGTTTCGCGCGAACCCGCTCGAGGAAAGTCGACCCCCCATCTCGGATCCTCGATAAATAACTCGATCCGCGGACCACCGTTTTCCTTAGTAAAAAAAGGTGCGGGGCACTTTTAGCATAATCCTCGACGAAAAAACAGAGGTCTGGAGCCCCGACCGCAACGCGGAAAAGCGCCCCGCACGCAGGAATTCCGAGGATGTCTCGCGCGTGCCGCGTCCCGCGCGCAGGAATTTCGAGGATGTCTCGACTAATTCGTTTGTTTTGCCAGGATTTCTTGAATTTGACAGGATGTCTCGAGCGAAACGCTTGTTTTTCATAATTTGTTGAGGATGTCTCGAGCGAAACGCTGGTTTTGCAAAAGTCGGGGGATGTCTCGAGCGGGGGCCTCGTGGGGGGCTAGAATTCATAGGATGTCTCAGGCGAAATGCTTGTTTTCACGTCCCGCTCGAAGGAATTCCGAGGATGTCTCGCGCGTGCCGCGTCCCGCGCGCAGGAATTTTGGGGATGTCTCGGCTACTTCGTTCATTTGTTTAAGATGCCGTTGGATTTTGCCAGGATGTCTCGAGCGAAACGCTCTTTTTTGTTATTTGTTGAGGATGTCTCGGGCGAAACACTGGTTTTGCAAAATTGGGAGATGTCTCGAGCGGGAGCCCCGAGGGGGGCCAGAATTCAGAAGATGTCTCAAGCGAAATGCTTGTTTACACGTCCCGCGCGCAGGAATTCCGAGGATGTCTCGCGCGTGCCACGTCCCGCGCGCAGGAATTTAGAGGATGTCTCGACTAATTAGTTCATTTGTCCAGGAATTCCTTTGATTTGGGCAGGATGTCTCGAGCGAAACGCTTGTCCCCAGCACGTTCCGTAGCGCGTCCCCTTGGCACGTCCCGCGGTGCGTCCCCATGGCACGTCCCCTGGCACGTCGCTTGGCGCGTCCCTTGAGACGTTCCGCGGCGCGTCCTCCTGGCATGTCCCCCTGTCAATTAGCTCTGGGGCAGCTACTATGTGTTCAGGCAGCTCGAGCTTAAGATCCAGATCAGGTCGGTCAGGACTCGGATGCAAAGGAGGACTCGATCCACGACGCTATAGAGCACAATCGCGGCATGGCACATCGCAATTCAGCACGGCGCAGCACAGCACAGATTTCGGCACGGTACATCAAGATCGATACACTCAGCATTGCAACTTGGCACGTTCCTTGGCACGTTCCGTGGGGCGTCCCTTGGCGAGTCCCCCTGGCACGTCGCGTGGCGCGTCCCCTGGCACATCCCGTGGCACATCCATTGGCACGTTCCGTAGCGCGTCCCCTTGGCACGTCCCGCGGTGTGACCCCATGGCACGTCCCCTGGCACGTCGCCTGGCGCGTCCCTTGAGACGTTCCGCGGCGCGTCCTCCTGGCATGTCCCCCATGTAGCTCTGGGGCAGCTACTATGTGTTCAGGCAGTTCGAGCTTAAGATCCAGATCAGTTCGGTCAGGACTCGGATGCAAAGGAGGACTCGATCCACGACGCTATAGAGCACAATCGCGGCATGTCACATCGCAGTTCAGCACGGTGCAGCACAGCACAGCATTCGGCAGGGTACATCAAGATCGATACACTCAGCATTGCATTTGCCCGTCACCCAATCAGCTGTATTTGAAAACGTTGCCATGCGTTACAGCTCTATATTCCTTTCCGGGTTCGTGGGTCGATCATGTTTGAGCAGTCTTGGGGTATGTTGTATTTTTCGTCCAGAAGTCGCCTGTGGGATGACATGCCCGACCTAACCTTGTGATGTCCCCAGCCTACTTTAGCTTTGATCACCAGAAAAAACTTCGAGCACCAAGAAAGTACCGAAATTTGAGGGGGAGGCGATACTCTTTCGACACTATTTCGATATTTCTCTGGGTGCTCGAAATCATTTCTGGGATGTGGTCCGTCAGCATGCTGGGAGCAACATGAGCCTGACCCTGGCGGCGCGCGCACGAAGGGGTGCCCTTCAACAACTGCCAGGGCGCCTCTCGCAGGCCGGGGGCGGGGGCCCCTCGGTCAGAAGCCGCCTGCCCTCCCGGCTGCCCCCACCCCAGCAAGAAAATCTCGGGAGGCCGCTTCCCTCGTGTCTCTCGCGGCGCGGCGCCGGAGAAGGCGGGGTGATTTCCATACGCCGCCACCCCCCCTCAAGAAGGCACAGGGGAAGGCTCGTCGAAGAGGCTGCTGCAGCTCGCCAGCGGCGGCACCCCTCCCCGTCAAGAGCCAGCGACGTCAGTCGGCGGCGAGCCTGGGGGGCGAAGCGAGAAGGGGCGGGCCTTCTCGGAAGGCTCGGGATTCCCCCAGCCTTCGGCTCAGTTTTCTAAGCCTTCCCCCCGAAGACACCGAAGGCTTCTCAGAAGGCGCGAGGGCTGCTGAGAAGTCCAGCCGCCTTCTCTGAGAAGGCCTTCTCCCTCTCACTTCCCCCTCGCTCGCCGCCGAGTCATTTTATGCACCGCCACCCTCCCTTGGAGGGCACAGGGGAGGCTCGTCGGCGGGCGCTCGTATGTATACTCGTGGCGTGCCCCTCCCCCTTCAGGCGGGGCAGAGGCTGCTGCAGCGCGCCAGGGGCTACCTGGGCGCGCGCGCCCGCGCCCGCGCCCGCGGGGCGGCGAGGGGGGGTCGCCTGGGGCGGGGAGGAGCGGGTGGAGGGGCGCGCAGAGGGGGGCACCCTGAGATCGTGGCGGCTCAATTTTCTCGAGCCGGGCGTTTTCGCTCAAGTTCGGGTCCCGGGACCCTCACAGATCGATCCGGCTTGCGCCTTCCGAGAAGCGGCCTCCTAAGAAGCCTCTCCCCTCCCCCTGTGCCACCATGCGCGCGCCGCCAGGGCAGGAGGGAAGAGGAAAGGAAGGAGAGGCGAAGAGCAAGGGAGAGGGCAGAGGAGAAGTAGGAGGAGGCGGCGGAGGAGGAGCAGGAGGAGAGGGAGGAGCGGTGGGAGGAGGATGATGATGATGATGATGATGAGGAGGAGGAGGAGGAGGAGGAGGAGGAGGGGGAGGAGGAGAATGGGCAAGGAAGGAGAAGGAGGACGATTCGGGCATCAGCAGGCCTTACACCGCATCAGAATTAGAATGGTGGCTGTGAGGGCAGACCGTCAGGTCCTGATCACTCGGGCAAGAGGAAGAGGGGAAGTAGGAGGAGGAGGCGGAGGAGGAGGGAGGAGGGAGGAGGAAGAGGAGGAGGAGGACGGAGGAGGACGGAGGAGGACGGAGGAGGAGCCGAAGGGAGTAGGATGGATTTTCGAGGAGGGAGGCGGAGGCCAGAGGCAACAAGAGGAGGGAGGTAAGATGTAGAAGGTAGGAGGAGGAGGAGGAGGAGGAGGACGAGGAGGAGGAGGAAGAGGAGGAGGAGGAGGAGGACGAGGAGGAGGAGGAGGAGGAGGAGGAGGCGGAGCTGCCTGTGGTAGCGGTGGTGGAAAAAGTGGGCCCGGCACGTTCCCTTGCTGCCCCTCGCGGCGCGAGGCTGGAGGGGCACCGCGCTCTCGAAGGAGGACCGCCGCCGGCCCCCGCCCCCCCCCCGCGCGCGGGCGCGGCATCGAGGATCGAGGCTGCCTCGAGGATCGAGGCTGCCTCGAGGATCGAGGATGCCTCGAGGATCGAGGATGCCTCGCGGTGCAGGCGACCGCCTGCCCTCGAGGATCGAGGGCCCGAGGCGCTTCGTGAGCCTCTCCAGGCGCCTCGATCCTCGAGGGCGAGGAGGAGGAGGAGGAGGAGGAGGAGGAGGAGGAGGAGGAGGAGGGAGGGAGGAGAAGGAGAAGGAGGAGGAGGAGGAGGAGGAGGGGGAGGAGGAGGAGGAGGGAGGAGAGGAGGGAGAGGGAGGAGGAGGGAGGAGGTAGGGGTAGAAATAGGCGGATGAAGTGGAGGAGGAGGAGGAGGAGGAGGAGAAGGAGGAGGAGGAGGACAATGGCGAGCTTTGGGGCTTCTTGGGGCGCCTTGGGGGCCTCCTGGCGGTTCCAGGGGCCTCTTGCGTACCTCGGGAAGCCTCCTGTGGCCTCTGGGGGGTCTCGGGGGAACCTTTTGGAGACCTCTTGGGCGCCTCTTGGGGCCTCCCAGGCGCCTCTTTGGGCACTCTTGGGGATCGCTTGGGAGAATTGGAGACGCTCTTGGAGCCATCTTGGTGGACATCGATTAAAGAAGGGAGGAGATTCAATTAGCCTTGCCCCTCGAGAGTGCCTAGAATCATCTCTCGGACCCCTCTTGGAGCGCTCTTGGGGCCCTCTTGGGCGCTCTTGGGGCCGTAGTGGTGTCTCTGAGGCCTCTCTTGGGAGACGCTCCGTGGCCACTTGGAACCGTCTTGGAACGGTCTGGGGGCCTCTTCGAGCATCTTGGGAGCCATCGTCAGGCATCTCGGCGGATCTTGTACCATCTTGGAGGAGGTCATTTGGGGCTCTCGGAGGCCCTCTTGGAACCGTCCTGGGCCATCTTAGATGCTATGGCCTCTCGCGGGGCGCCCCGTCCAGGTCCAGGGGAAGGGGCAGAGAGAGGGGTAAACCCCTCCCCGAAGGGAAAGAAGGGGGTTGGAAGAGGAGCCTCTCTAGACCACCTACGCCCAGAGGACTGGTGGCATGCATTGTGAAAAAACAGCCAGTCGGCAAACTGGGCACACGCGCACGTACTGGCGGCCTTGTTGTCCCAGCAGGGCCTTTTCCACGCGGGAGGTACTGGGGGGAGAGACGCTCAGAGAGGGCGGGGATCAACCACTGCCCAGGAGCGGGGGCGCAAGAGCCCTGCCTGGGAGCAGCTGGCGCGAGCCAGCTGGCCTGGAGCGATGCTCCCGGCAGGAGCGCTGCTGCCTGCTCGAGGCCCACCGAAAGCCAGCAGGCACGCTCGGAGAAGACGTCCCGCGGAATCTGCTGGGCGGGCGCGAGCCGGCACCCCCGGAGAGAGGTCCTCCTGCCGAGCAGTGCTCCACAGCGCACACCACGAGCCAGCACGCTCGGGGCGGCTCGCTCGGAGTGAGCTGCTCGGCTGGCAGGGGCGCTGGAGGCGCCAGCTGCAGCCTCCCTCCTCCTCCTCCTCCTCCTCCTCCTCCTCCACCTCCTCCTCCTCCTCCTCCTCCTCCTCCTCCTCCTCCTCCTCCTCCTCCTCCTCCTCCGCCTCGTCGGCGATTGCAACGTGCACGGTGGAGGAGTGGAAGCTGGAGGCGATCGGCAAGGTACGCAGAAATCAGTGCACGGCCCACTGACGCTGGGCCGTGCTGGGGGGCATCAGATGTGGAGTGGCATGGCCGTCGCATGTGTCACCTGTTGTCTTCGCTCCTTGGGAAGGCTCATGCCCCTCTTGTGGGCTGCCTGTGCGTGATGATCGCGATGGTGGTAGTGATGTTGATGGTGATATATGATAGTGGTAGTGATGAGGGTGACAAGGATTACGATGATGAAGATGGGAATGATGATGCTGATGATGAGGATCGGAGACGAGGAGGAGGAGGAGGAGGAGGAGGAGGAGGAGGAGCCTGGGCTCCTGAAAGGCAGTCTTGCGGTTTCTTGGGTTTCTTGGAGCCCTCCTGGGCAGTCCAGGAACCCTCTTGGGTTGTCTTGGGGCTCTCTTGGGGCTCTCGTGGGGCCCTCGTGGCCGTTAGGGGAGTCTCGTGGGGCCACAGTGGGGCCGTCTTGGGCCGTCCAGGGATCCTCTTTGGCCGTCTTGTATCCTTCGGGAGGCTCTTGAGGGACAGATTGAGGCGCTCTCGAGTGTATTCTGGGCTGTCCAGGAACCTTCTTGGCATGTCTTGAGATCGTCTGGGAGGCCTCTCGGGTTATTTGGAGACCCTCTTGGGTCGTCGTGGGGCCATCTGGGAGGCCTCTTGGGCCGTCTAGAGCCGACGGAAGCTCGAGAAGGCGCGAATCCAAAACATTGCCAAAACCGATGGGAATGAAGCCATGATGGTGGCCTCTTTTGGTCCTCGCCGGGGGGCCTTCTGGGAGCCGTCTCGGGCCGTCTTGGAGGCCCCTTGGGCCGCAATGGAGGTCTCTCGGCCCACGCTGGCGGCCTCGGCGGCCTGCCCTGGCCGTTTGAGAAGCCGTCTTGGGTACCGCTGACGCTTTGGAGAGCGCCAGGGTCGAGTCGGGCCTGACCCTCCACACGAGGAATACTCAAAAATAGTCCCCCAAAAAATGGTCTGGGGAGGATTTTCCGAATATTGGTCTGGCTGTGTTTGAGCATTTTTGGGGGTGCTTCTTATTTTATCGTCCAATATCTGCCTGAAGGGGGACACGCCCGACCCAATGCCCACAGAGCCTCGGAGTGGGGGGGAGGGGGGTGCGCGCAAGGGGGTACGACGAGCGGAGGGGAACCCCTCAGAAGATGACAGAAACGCTGCCAGACAGCGCTTGGCATTCCAGTACACCTCAACGTGCCGGGTGGCACGGTGGCGGATTGGAGGAGGAGCTCGCGAGGACCACGGCAGGGACACAGGCGGGACCCTTGTCCCAGGCACATCCAGGCACTTGTATTGAGGAAGCTGTGGAGTACACACACAAACACACCCTTTCAAATATGATTGGTCTGCGCTTTAGATTGGTCGGGTGTGCCCTCGATGACTTCCCGAGTGTTTTTGGCCCATCCTTGACGCAATGCGGTCAGTACGGTAGACTCGTGTCGTCACGACGCGGCAGCGACGCCGCCGCAGGCGTCCAGGGCTGAACGACGCCAGCGGCCCAGAGGTCCCTGGCAGCATGGAGCAACCGGGCGATCGAGACGAGCCGCCGCCCGCTGCTGGCCGCACGACGCGCGCGGAGGGCGAGGCCAGCGCCACGCCACGCCACGCCGCGAGCCTGCCGTGAGCTTGGCATCGCTCGGACGTGTGCGTTTTTTTCCCTCGGCGAGGACCCTCGAGGAGCATCCTCGACCATTTGGCGAAAAAGCCACGCACGAAACCGAACAAAAACACAGGGAATGGCCAGACACAATGAATCCTCGATTTCCCAGAAAATATGGGGAAAATATGGGAAGTGGGCGGGAAGACAGGAACACAGAAAATATGGGAAAATATGGGGGATTTGTTTCCCTTTGTGTGTATTCATTTGTGTGTCCTTGGGCCCCTTCAGTAAGGCGGCGGGGCCTCGCGGGCCTGCCGCGGCTGCTTTTGCTCCCTCGGCGGAGGTCCGGCGGCGGGGGCCGGGCAGAGCCGGCGCGGAGGTCTGCGCGCCGGGGGGGGGGGGCGCGGCCGAGAGGCGTGGAGAGGGGCCGAGGAGGCCGCCGCGCGCCCTTCCCGGCCCGAGAGGGCCGAGAGGCCCGAGAGGGGCCGAGAGGCCAGGCTCGCCACGCGCGGGGGGGGCGCGGGCGCGGCCGAGAGGCCCGGAGGGGGGCCGAGGAGGCCCGGAGGGGCCGCCCGCGGGGCCCCCTTAGGTTTAAGTCGGGCGTGTCCCCCTGCAGGGGGATTGTCGACGAAGAAGTAAAGATACCCACAAAATAGTCAAAAAATAGTCCAAAAATAGTCTGGGGACTATTTTTGGAGTATTCTTTGACTTTTTTGGTGTATTTTTGGTATTTTTCTTTTTCGCCGAAAATCCCCCTGTAGGGGGGCACGCCCGACATCACCTGAGGTGCAAAGGCACGCGGGCGGACGGCAAACGGGTGGGCCAGGAACGAGGGGCCTGCCTTCCACCACCACCACCAGAGGTTGGAGGGGGGAGGGGGTGCTCCTCCCCCTCCTCCTCCTCCTCCTCCTCCTCCTCCTCCTCCTCCCCCTCCTCCTCCTCCTCCTCCTCCTCCTCCCCTCCTCCTCCCCCTCCTCCTTCTCCTCGCCTCCTCCTCCTCCTCCTCCTCCTCCTCCTCCTCCTCCTCCTCCTCTTTCCCTCCTCCAACTTCTGGTGGTGGTAGCGGGAAACAGGCCCGTCATAAAACGTAGTGGGATCGAGTATCATGCCCAGGGCGGGATGGCCCGAAGCTGAACATCAAACACCTGCGCCGTGGTACCAACAAACCATCAAGCCGCAGTGCCACTTATCGGCAGGCCGGCACTGGCTGGCCCAAAGAGCTGATAAAGGCCACGATCAGTTGCGCAAATGGATCGAAGATAGCAGAAAATAATAAACGTAGGGGAATCGAGAATTGCAGGAAAGTGGCCTTGAACAAAAATTATTAAATGGCCGCGGACCTAAGCAGTGCACGAAGGGCGCCCGTGTCTTCACCCCCCATTGATTATTGGGACCCCCGTTCACGAACGCCCGACAAACCTGCGGGAGTCTAGAATTTCAAGCCTTGGAGGGCCCAGTCGACCTGCTTCTAAAAAGCCAACCTTGTGGGCCTAGGCCAAATACCGCTCTCACGTTTTAGCCACAGGCGTCTATGGACACATTGGGTGCTGTTACGTATACGTGTGCATTCGAGGTGGATGCGTACAAAGACAAAGCGGCCGTTGCGATCGGCGAAGTGCGAGGTCGGAGAGAGGGCAGAGTCCTATTCTAGAGCATGTCCCACATGGTACTCCAACTCCAGCCTCGATCCTTATCCCCCTCCTTCCCACGCAGGAGCTGGCGAACTGGACCGGCGTGGTCGGCATGACGGACAAGTAGAGCTCGCTGCGCCCGCGACCGCCCGATTGCGTGGGTGCGCCTCGGGCGCAGCGGCGCTCCTCGCTGAGATGCGGCGCTTGCCGTTTTGGAAAGCAGACCTCGGGCCCGCTCGCCCTGGCGTCGATCAGAGAAGGGGGACGGGCTGGGGGGAGGGGTTCGGCCTCCTCCTCCTCCTCCTCCTCCTCCTCCTCCTCCTCCTCCAGCAGCTCCTCCTCCTCCTCCGTCCTCCACCTCCTCCTCCTCATCCTCCTCCTCCTCCTCCTCCTCCTCCAGCTCCTCCTCTTCCTCCTCCTCCTCCTCCTCCTCCTCCTCCTCCTCCTCTCCTCCTCCTCCTCCTCCCCTCCTCCTCCTCCTCCTCCTCATCCTCCTCCTCCTCCTCTCCCCCTCCTCATCCTCATCCTCATCCTCCTCCTCCTCTCCCCTCTCTCCTCCTCCTCCTCCTCTCCTCCTCCTCCTCCTCTCCTCCCCCCTCCTCCTCCATCCTCCTCCTCCTCCTCCTCCTCCTTCTCCTCCTCCTCCTCCTCCTCCTCTCCTCCTCTCCTCCTCCTTCCTCCTCCTCCTCCCTCCTCCTCCTCCTCCTCTCCTCCTCCCCTCCCTCCTCCTCCTCCTCTCCTCTCTCCAGCTCCTCCTCCTCCTCCTCCTCCTCCTCCTCCTCCTCCCTCCTCCTCCCTCCTCCTCCACCCCCTCCTCCTCTCCTCCTCTCCTCCTCCTCCTCCTCCTTCTCCAGCTCCTCCTCTTCGTCATCCTCCTCGTCTCCTCCTCCTCCTCCTCTCTCTCCCTCCTCCTCCTCCTTCCTCCTCTCCTCCTCCACCTCTCCTCCTCCTCCTCCTCCTCCTCCTCCTCCTCCTCCCTCCTCCTCCTCCTCCTCCTCCTCCTCCTCTCTCCCATCCTCATCCTCATTCCTTCTCCTCATCCTCATCCTCCTCCAGCTCCTCCTCGTCCTCCTCCTCCTCCTCCTCCTCCTCCTCCTCCTCCTCATCCTCCTCCTCATCCTCCTCCGGGGGGGGAAGCGGCAGAGGGACCCTTCACTGGCGCGGGCTGCCACGGGAGTCCCCCCGAAGCGCTGCCCTGCGCGTTCCTCGGATGTTCGGCTTGCGCGCGGCGGCCCCCTAAGGCCGCGCAGCAGAGGTTGCTCGCGCCTAGGGTTGAGTCGGGCACGTCCCTCCACAGGAGGAATATCCAAACATGGTCAAAGAATAATATCGGGGACGATGTCCCTTTTCTTTTTGGCGAGTTTCGGATACTGTTGGACTGTTCTTTATGTGTCCTCGTAAATCCGCCTGTAGGAGGACATGCCCGACCTAAGCCTAGGGTCACTCTTGCATGCACAGTCGGACTGGGGCATGAGATCGAAGTCGGTTCGGGGAGATTGCCCTGGTGTCCTTGGTGTTGCTGGATGCTCTTGTGCATCCTGGGGAGGGTACCCTGGGATGTTCTGTCTGTTCTGGCCGACGGAGGGACTCGTGCTCTTGAGGGATGTTTTACTGGCCCAGGTAAGCCTGCAGTCGATCAGAGCAGTGGGCCAAATGACGAAACTGACGCGATCTTTCGGAGGCCCGCGCGAATTTCGTGATTCGGTTGGGCCCACCTTGCCCACACCCCTCACTCCTCCTCCTCCTCCTCCTCCTCCTCCTCCTCCTCCTCCTCCTCTTCTTCCTCCTCCAGCTCCTCCTCTTGCTCTTCCTCCTCCTCCTCCCTCCTCCTCCTCCTCCTCCTCCTCCCCCTCCTCCTCCTCCTCCTCCTCCTCCTCCTCCTCAAGCTTCTCCTCTCCTCCTCCTCCTCCTGATCCTCCTCCTCCTCCTCCTCCTCCTCCTCCTCCTCCTCCTCGCCGACCCTAGAAGTATTTGCGAACCTCCGAAAGCGTACGCGTCTGGCTGCGGAGCTCTCGAAAGACGCCCCCCCTCTCAGAAGCTCTCCTGCGGTTCGAGCGGGCTCCCCACAAGCCTCTGAAGTTGGGGCCGACTCCCCCCGACAGGCCGAAGGGCCTCGACTTCGGGCGCAGTCCTGTGTTCCGATACGATAGGTTCGCGTCGTGCCGACCGGCGGCGACCGCGCCGCCGGGGCTCAACGTTGAACGCCGCCGGCGACCCGGAATCGGTCGATGTTGAACGATCCGACATTTCGGAACCTGCCGGTCCATCAAGGTTGAACGATCCCCTCGGCGTCGGGAACCAACGCCCAGGTCGTCACGACACGAACCTGCCGTACTGGGACGTCTTGTCTCGTCCCAGGTCCAGGCGGACCACCAGAGGCCGACAGTCCGTCAGTCAGTCAAGCCTGGCGCCCAAGCGGCGCATTGGCAGATAAAGAACTGCGCGCGCGAGCTGCGTGGAGAGGGGAAGGAGCAGGAGGGAAGAGGAAGAAGAGGAGGGGAGAGGAAGGATGACGCCAAAACAAGTTTGAAGCCGGCGCTCTGGCAAGAGTGTGCAGACATTGGCGGCAACGGCGAGAAACTCGAGTCGTGATTTCTGCACGCGTGGGTCATTGGATTCCCCCCAGATGCCTCCACGGTGCCCTGGGTTCTTGGGTTTCGATGGTCTTGCTATGGAGAGCGTGACGTTTCCACACCAAAGACCAACGGACGTCCTGGGGCCTCAGGGTTGGGTTTCTCGTGGAAGGTTTCTGGTGGTCGAGCTCCTACTGAAAATCCTGGCTCTTGCAGGTATGGATCGTTGGATGTCCCCGAAAGCCTCGAGCGAGTATTGCGAGGGCCTTACGGCTGGTTGCGCCGACCCTGAAGACGACGAAGATGAAAACGAGCGGGGGGGGTAGGAGGCGGAGGAGGAGGAGGAGGAGGAGGAGGAGGAGGAGGAGGAGGAGGAGGAGTGGGGGGGGAAGAGGAAGGGTGGAGGAGGCAGATGAGGGAGGAGGAGGGGGGGGGAAGGGGAAAGGATGAGGAGGAGGAGGAGCTGGAGGGGAGGAAGAGGAGGAGGAGGAGGAGGAGGAATAGGAGGAGGAGGAGGAGGAGGAGAGGAGGAGGAGGAGGAGGAGGAGGAGGAGGAGGAGTGGGGTTGGCTCTTGCAGGCGCGGATCGTTGCATGTGCCCCTCGGAGGCCGCTGGCCCCCGCGGCGGCCCCTGGGAGGCCTCCGCAGGCCCCCCCAAAAAAAGCCTCGAGCACGTGTTTCACGTCGGGCGTGTCCCTCTACAGGAGGCATATTCAAAAATAGTGAAAATAATATGGGATTTTGTTTTAAGTATATTTTTGACATTTTGAATAATTAAGGCGTTTGTGAGTCTATGTTTGAGTACGTTTGTATGTTTTGAGTATTTGTGTCTTGTAAAAGATAATCAGGGGACTATTTTTTTGTATGTTTGGGCTCGTCCAAAATCCCCCTGTAGGGGGACAGGCCCGACTTAAAGCAAGTCGTTCACGTCGGGCGTGTCCCTCTACAGGAGGAATGCTCAAGCACAGTCAACAAACATAGTGAGGGGACGATGTTTCGTGCTCGTGTCTAGCTATTTTCGACTATGTGTTGACTACTGCTCATTTGCCTTCCAATGTCCGCCTTGTCGGAGGACATGCCCGACCCAGAGCACGCAGGCGCCGACCTCGCTCTCGGGAGCGCCCGCCTTGGATCTCGGCGGGGCCCCTCTGGCGCCGCGGGGGCCTGCACGAGAGGCCCCCCGAAGGGCCAAGTCGCTCAGACTCCTCGAGCCTCGGGGAGCCTTCCCCTGTGCCGTCGCACGGGGGAGCCCTCGTTCTGCGTCCCTGCAGGCGTCCTCCAGTCGAGGTTCGGGGGGCGACGTGCGACGGTCGAGCTTTCTAGGTTCGAGGTTCGCTGACAAGGCCGCCCCCTCTCCCCGACATGCGACGTCTTGATTGTTTCGAGGCCGGGTCCCCAGACGCCCCGACCCTTTTCCCCAGGGTCGGCTCTTCTTCCACTGCTTTCTCTTTGGCCCGTAAGGGCCCCTGGAGCCAGGAAGCTGCTCCCGCGGGCCGCAAAATCCCAAACAAGGTTGCGTATTGATGGTTTCGAGGCGTTGGGTGTTTGGGCCCAGGAGGAGGAGGAGGAGGAGGAGGAGGAGGAGGAGGAGGAGCAGGAGGAGGAGGAAGGGAGGACGCATCGATCCCCAATCGCCCGTGGATCGCGGATGGGAGCCCGACAACCCGCCACTCCAGAGGAGCGTCGGAGTGTGCCATCGGGGGCCGATCGCCCACCGCCGACCCATCGGCGGCACATCGCAGATTCTCAATGTTTCCCCCCCGCGAGGCGCTCCCCCACCCTTTTGTTGCCCCTCACCTCGCGGCACCCGCTGCACGCTCGCGCCTCCTCCTTGAGAAGCCGCCCGTGGCCCCAGAGAAGGCCTGGAAGGCTCTCTGTGAGGGCCTCTGAGAAGCCACGCCGCCCTCTGAGGCAGAGCCGGGCTCCTCCCCAGAGGTGCGATACCTTGCTTGTCTCCATAGGGGGCCCCAGGGAATCTCGACGGGTGACAGGAAGCATCCTCCCCCCCTTCCCCTCTTTCCTCCTCCTCCTCCTCCTCCTCCTGCTCCCTCTCCTCCGCCTCCTCCGCCTCCTCCTCCTCCGCCCCCATCCTCCTGGCGCAGGAAATCTCGACCCCCTCCCCGGGACCCGTTTCATCCTCCGGAGCCCTTCTTCGACGGCTCCGGGGCCCGGCGAGGGCCTCCGGATGGCGAGGTCCGCCCCAGCCCTCCGCCTCGACTTCTCCAGGGCGCTGGCCTGCCGGGCCAACGCCCTCCGCACCGGGCGCGCCGCCCCCGACGCCCGCCGCGCGCCCGCGGCTCGAGGCCCCGGCGTGGATTTGAAAAGGAATTTGGCCGGGCGCCGCCGCGGAGGTACAAGTCCCCCGCGCGCGGCCTCTGGCGCCGGGCTTCCTCGGGCAGCTCCTCGCCATGCGAGCAGTGCTTCTGTCCATATCCACTGCAGTGTGGAGTTCCAGGCTCCCTTCCCCAGAAACCCGAGGCGCACTGGATATGGATTAATTTGCCCCCCATGAGGCTCGATTTTTATCCATGTCCAGTGCACCTCGGCCTTGTGTT